TTCATACTTCGAGCTAGGAATCTCCAAATTGTGATCCATTTGTGTAGTTTTTAAGTACACTCATAGAGATACATTTTATATAAAGTTCATGTCAAAACTCCTTACGGGTTGAAAACAAAAAATTCTCAAAATGCGACCCGACTGCAATAAACTTTCAGATTTGTGTAGTTCCGGTGAAAAAATCTCATATTGATCTAGGAGCATCCAAATCACAAACGGCTTATGTTGTTGGAAATTAGACATACAAATATACAACATATAAAATGTAAGAGGTAGAACGTTTTCTAGATGGATCGCAGTAGTTTTCAAAAGTTGATCCCGTTGTCCGTTGAGCTCGCTTTCCAGCTCTGTGCTCTCTGAGTTGTCCTACGAATGTTGTTTTTTTTCTTCTTCTTGAAATTGACTCTACATTCTTGCATGTAGTAACTTTCACTATCATGCTTCATAAATCTTATCTCTTTATTTATTTCTTTTGTAGACTCATAAAGAAGCTCAAAGGGTCCAGATATCAGACTGAGATGTCATACAAGATGCGTATATGTTGAAGTTTTGAGCATGCAAAATTTCTATGAGGAAGAAAAAATTGTTGTAGTAGATCGCCACGCGAAGCTACCCCTTAAATTGCACTTGATTTGTTGATAGTCTTAAAGTTCATCAATGGACGCTCCCATGGTGATTGAAGGTTTTTTCAAGAGAGTCGACTTCTCATATATGAGACCTTCAACCAACACTTGAACAAGAGAAGCAAACTATCATGCTCAAGGCTTAACAACAAGATACATGATCAAGAGATCATCACAACTACTGAATGCAATACACATACATTGAGAATAATGTATTAAATGTGGAGACGTCATATAAAATTGGAAGAAGCATTCAAGACGAGTCGGCAACAAAGCCTAGTTTATGATTACCGAAAATGTCTAGTTCATTTCTTCTCTACATTTTTGGATGTATCAACTTTTTTTAATATTGAAGCAATAAAATATCTTTTATCCTTCAACGCAAATCGTCTTCTTTTCCTCATAGATATATGCCTCTACACTTGGAAGAGTTAATGTGATGATCCCATAACACTAAACTATTTTTTAAAACTCATGTGACTGAACTTAGACTGAAACTCTAAGCTGCCTACGTACCTCGGTGAAGAGGATCAAGTCATAATATAGTTCAGAGGGAGGAGTTCTTTTTTGATGTCCTAATTTTTGCCTAGGCCGCCTCTCGCGAGGTTTTCAACCTAGCGGGGCTTTTTTTTTTTTTTTTTATCCTAACTTTTTCCTAGGCCACCTCTTTCGTGGTTTTTAAACTAGAGAAATTATTTTTGGCCGTACATAATTTAGACTCATGCGGGTCAGGAGTGTAGCAACATGCAGTTTAGGCTCATGCATCAAGGAGCGTAGCAACGTGCAATTTAGGTTCATACGTCAAAGAGCGTGGGTGACTGTCACGCCTCGACCTCGGGGAGTGCAACCGGCTCTCAACCGAGATACCCCGGTTAAGCAAGCTTACTAGATTCCTTCTACCCAACCTTGCCCCTTAACAGTATAAAAATAAGTACAAGTGATAGACACAAGAAGAGTCAAGTGTTCCACATTCTTTTTTCATTATTAAAGGATATTCATTTATGATTTTCAAAATATTATAAATTTATAGATATGATGAGAAACATATTTGCCGAAATACCAACACTTACTAGTTTAATTCCTAACATGAAACACCACCCACAACCTGTCTACAGAGCCTCTAAGTATAACAGAAGAGACGAATGGAAGTGTCGGCGACAAGGCCCCGGCTATACCTCAAAACATAAAGTACAACGTCAAATGACATGAAGCCCGAAATAGAGTAGGGCGCACCAAAATCTGCTGAATAGAGAGTAACTGCTAACGAGGATCAAAACCGCCCGCTGACGAACCACCTGCATCCATTGAAGATGCAGCGCCCCCGGCAAAAGGGACGTTAGTACATATGGATTAGTACTAATATGTAAAGCTAAATGTCCTCTTTCAAAATAGAACGCCAATATAAGAAAGGAAAAACCATAGAAACAACAAGTCATAATCAACAATATCCAAATGGCCAGTTAAAACATAACAATTTTTAATATACGAAAATAATATATATTTTTGGTTGAAAGATCATTAACACCGATATACCACCGTATTTTTTAGCACGGAGTCCGATCAAGCCGGATCGGCTAGGCCATCTCCCCACGAACAATGTGGTTTGACATTTGATGCGAAAAAGGTGTTGCCAAGAGTAGTACCACCATGTGCGCAACATGGCGTCCGATCTCCACCCGATCGGCTAGGCCGCCTTCCCACATATGTCGTGTGGGCTGACTTTCCAATTCACAACTAATATTAATCTCATCCCAATTAAGGAGAATAATCACAATCGCATCAATATTTCAATCTCATCCCAAATAAGGGAAATAATCACAATCCACCCCTACACCGACACGTGTAGTTTTAGGTGTGGGCCTTATGACCCACCCTTCCTCGGTTTGCTAATGATACTCCCAAAAACCTATTTATCTTTGCACACAAGGAACACAGTACAAATATATTTTATATTCACCTTTTAACCTTTACACTGTATATATAGCTTCGTTATTACTTTCAACCATTCATAACATCATTATTTCCTTGGCTCTCTTGGCCATACTTATGATTCTTCATTCATGGCACGTTGGCCGTATTTCATATTTCATATTTTCATTGCTTTACTTTCATGGATCATCATCATAAATATCAACAAATAGAATATTCTGAAAATCACAACTTTAGGTTGATTAGCAATGAGGACTTTAAACACAATGGATTTCTTTCTAAGAAATGAAGTAAAATGATTGACAATCGAAGCACAAGTTAAAATCATAAATGTGTAACACATCATTTGTTCTTGACATACTTTTCCTTAAAAAGGGCAATACAAAATTTTAACTTATGAGGATATAAGAGCTCAAAACATATTAGAAATACTTACAAAATATAGCATTAGTTAAAACAACCACATTTGGGCGTGACTTGAGTACATACGCTTTTAGGCAAATCTATTTTCGAAGTCAGTTTGGAACAGTTGAATCAAGACTTATTTCATAACCTTTCTCACATCATTTCATTTTCTCGGCACCATTGACCACAAGTATAAGTTTTATTCTTGGCACGTTGGCCACCCTTTATATCTCCAACCTACTTCTTTCACTTTAAAGCATCCTTATAGATTATCAACAACAAGGCATTTCTACTCAAGACTTTAAATATACATTTGAGCAACTAATCAAATTAAGGGTCTTAGGCACATATGATTTCTTACACAATTCAACATGCTAGTTTTCATTAGAATCATGTTTTCAAATCATAACATATTGACACACAGTCCATGCTTAATCACCTTCTCAAATAGTAGCTCAATACAAATTCAACGCATATATTTTTTAACACAAGGCTTATTCGGAATAATCAATTTACAATGAGCATCATGGGACTTACAAGGCCATTGTGGGGTTCAATTCTAAAAGAGGAGTTTAGCCAACATACCTTGTTTGAGTTTTTCTTAAGTTACTACAACGTCCCAACACTTCTAGCAATAACAATCTATAGGAAGATAGCGAAAATCAGATAATAATCAGAAGGAGTCACATGGTGTAACTCTTTTAGGAATTTTGGTCAAACACCTAGTATGCAAAATAGACTATAAAGCTCTACAATGGTAATCCCTTCCCCCCTCAACCAATTTCAACAAGAAACTAACCAAAATGGTTCATTAATCCTACATACTACAACCTATTGTCACATGCATGGCCTATTTCCAACCCCTACAATATACTTGAACTCATAACCTCTTGTATGAAAGCTTAGGAGTAGGACTTATCCGAATAGATGATAATCTAGTGATTGACTTCCTTGATTCTTGAATGTTGGTGCAAGAATGGGTGATTAGAATGATAGGTTTCTTCTTTCTCTCTCTAAAATGCTCTTATCTCTCTCTAAAATCATCAGACAATTGTCCCAAAATAAGCCCCAAAGGCTATTTATCAAAATAGGGTCGGGTTATAAAATTGAAAAAATGGACCCTCCGAACTCAGGTCTGCGGTGGCAGAATGGACCGCATAACAGATATGCGGTTCACAAAATTGACTGCGGAAGTGATACCCCAAAAAATGGAATGGTCTGTAAAGGTCTGCGATAAGTCTGCGGTCCGTAGACCACTTATGCGGCTGCAAAATGGACCGCATAATCACCCAATAAAATTCTTCATACAAAATCTGTAATGGATGTACGGACCGCGAAATAGATATGCGACCGCAGAATGTGCCACAAAACGACCTTCAAAATTTAATCATTTTTATGCTCAACTTTGCGATGGGTATGCGGCCCGCATAATGGATCTGCGATCGCAAATTTGACCGCATAACTGGCCCTTCAGCAAAAATATTCCACCAACACCTCGATGCATTAACTACTATATCCGTACATATTACCCGACCTCGCCACCACAAAACTAAAATTTCTTGGCAAAATTTTACGGGGCCTTACAGTGACTTTCATGGGAAGTATTGCTTTAGAAGTTTACCGTTGATTGGACCAACTCTAAGACCATCCTTATCAATAATTTTGTATGCGCCACTTGAATATGCTTCTTTCACAATATATGACCAATTTTGAAGTAAACTTTTCGCCTATGCGTTTGTTGAGGATTATGGGTCTTCGAACAACTAGGACCAATTCTCCCACTTGGAATAATCGTGGCCGCACTTTCTTGTTGAAAGCTCTAGCTAGTCGAGTTTGATAGCACTCCAATTTTTGTTGCGCTTCCAATCTTTTCTCATCCAATGCCTCTAAATCTGCTAGGCGAAGTTGAGCATTCTCTTCGAGCGTGAGTCCTTCTTGGATCGCAATCCACAATGATGGAATATGTTGCTTCAGTGGAAGGACTGCTTCTATGTCATACATCAAAGAGTAAGGAGTTGCTTGTGTAGCAGTTCTGAAGGTTGTTCAGTATGCCCACAAAGCTTCACCAATTTTCTCATGCCGGTCTCTCTTGTTCTTTACAACAACTTTCTTCAAAAGGTTACCAAGCGTCTTGTTAAAAGCTTCAACAAGGCCACTGGCAGTTGCATTATACATTGAAGACTTATGTTGCTTGAAACCAAAGTTCTCGCACAGACTCTTCACGAGCTTGTTGTCAAATGGCGTTCCATTATCAGTGATTGTGTATCTTGGTATTCCATACCTAAAAATTATATTGGACTTGATAAAATCGACAAAAATTTCCCTTTTCACCTACTTAAGAAGAACAACTTCAGCCCATCTAGAGAAGTAGTCCGTAACGGCTAATATGTATGTCTGTCCCTTTGATGACTTTGGAAGCTGTGCAATAACGTCAAGTCCCCATGCATCAAAAGTCCATGAAGCTACAGTTGGACGAAGAGGCTCTGGAGGTTGGTGGATGTAGTTGGCATGAAATTGACACGCGTGACATCTTTTGGCACGCTCCATGCAATCTTTCACCATTGTTGTCCAGTAGTTACCCATCCTCTTGATGCAAAAATGGAGCTTGGGACCAGATTGGTGTGCTTCACATGAATCGGAATATGCTTCCTCCATCCCTTGGCAGGCTTCTTCTTTGTCAACACATCGTAAGAATAGGCCTTCAAAAGAGCAGCAAAATAATGTCCCCTTATAGAAGATGAATCGTAGTGCTCTTCGTTTGATGTTTGTTCTTTGTTGCAGATCCTCAAATAACTTTCAATATTCAAGGCACTCTATCAATGGTTACCTCCAATCTTCTTCTTCAATCACTCGAACGGGCGTATGATGGCTTTATTTGAAGATCAAGAAGTCTAGGAATGACCCATCGATGACACACATGTACCTTTGTTGACTCTTTCTGTGATGACCCGGCTGGTCGTCTTGAGAGTTATAGCCCCGATTCCCTATTAACTGCTTCCCCCATATCGTTTTCTACTATTGTTACTTGCCGGGAGGTTTCATTTTGGTTTTTGAAAGTGTTTGGGACACTTAGTCCCTAAATGGAGATTTAAGCCTTAGGATTGACACCGTAGTTGGAACTCTATGAAGATAACTCCGGAATGTAATTCCTTCGATTTTGTTAGCTTCGTTGTATGATTTTGGGTTTAGGAGCGTGTCCGGATTGTGTTTTGGAGGTCTGTAGCTCATTTAGGCTTGAAATGGCGAACGTCGAATTTTTGGAGTTTTGGACCTATAGTGGAATTTTTGATATCGGGGTCGGATTCCGATTCCGGAAGCTGGAATAGGTCTGTAGGGTTGAATATGACTTGTGTGCAAAAAATGGGGTCAATCGGATGTGGTTTGATTGGTTTCGGCATCAGTTGTCGAATTTGGAAAATTCTCAGTTCTTTAAGTTTGAATCGGAGGATGATTCGTGATTTTAGCATTGTTTGATGTGATTTGAAGGATTGACTAAGTTTGTATAGTCTTTTAGGATTGGTTGGTATGTTTAGTTGAGGTCCCGGGAGCCTCGGGTGTGTTTCGGATGCTCAACGAGTTGAAATTTGGACTTATGCAATTGCCGAAGATTTCTGATTGCTGCAGTGCGGAAGATCAGGCGCAGAAGCGGTTTGGAAGGAGGATCTCAGGGATCACAGGTGCGAGGTTATATTCCGCATCTGCGATGCCCACCGATATGACCCTGGAGTTCAGGTGCGAAGAGAGACCGCAGAAGCGGACCAGTTTCCACAGGTGCGCACGCGCAGGTGCGGCCACTTTCTCGCAGAAGCGGTCCGAGGTCCCTTAAGTCATTTCCGCACCTGTGATGGAATTTCCGCAGGTACGATGAATAGGTCACAGGAGCGAATTTGCTGGGCAGAAAAGGAAAAAATTTGAGGGTTTGATTCATTTCTCCATTTTTGGACTTGGAAGCTCGGAAATTGGCGATTCTTTGAGGGATTTTCAGAGAGAGCTTTGGGGTAACGATTCCTAACTTGATTTTGATCATATTTCATTAATCTAGTGTTATTTTCTTCATTTAATTAAGGATTTGGATAATATTGGTATGAGTGATCTCGTGAGTGAATGAGTGTTCATATTTGGTAACTTTTACCAGATTCTGAGACGTGGGCCCAAGGAGATTGTTTTGGGCGTTTTTCTAATTTCTTGCCTTAGCTTTGATTTTGTTAGCTAGATTAGTTTCTTGTAGCTATATTTATGTTATGTAATTGGTTTTGGCTACATTTGAGCCATTTGGAGTCGGATATTCGTGGAAAGAGCATTGTGACGGATTGATTTGAGCTTGGTTCGAGGTAAGTGGCTTGCCTAACCTTGTGTGGGGGAACTCCCCTTAGGATTTGGTACTGTTTCATAAATGAGCGTCGTGTACGTACACGGGCTATTTGTTATAAAACTCCGTTTTTCACTAAGTCATAACTTGTTTTCTTCTTAATTGAAACATACTAGCATATGTAAATATCCTGTTTAGACTAGAATAGCATGCCTATTTCTTTAACTGCCTATTTGAACTCTGTGCAGCATGTTTAGTGAAATTAACTGCTTTCCTTGACTTGAACTTAGTTTAAACTGTAGGATTTCTTGCTGTAACTGTTATTTCAGTGGGTTGCGCTGCTTATTTACTTTGGGACTATAGAACGGTATTCTGGGAGATCCCCCAGTACTGCATATTTTCTTTGGGACTATGGAACGGTATTCTAGGAGATCCCCATGTACTGTGTATTTACTTTAGGACTACGAAACGGTATTCCGGGAGATCCCCCTATTCTGCATATTTATTTTGGGACTACGGAATATTATTCCGGGAGATTCCCCTGCACATTTACGTTTGGGACTACAAGACGGTATCTCGGGAGATCCCATGTTGTTACCACTATGTTCTGAGCTGTTGTCTTTCATTGATTCTATTCCAGTTAGATTTCCATATTTATTCTTATTGCGATATTTCATTTTGTCTTATTTCATTATATTTATACCAGTAGGGCCCTGACTTGATCTCGTCACTACACGATCGAGGTTAGGCTTGACACATACTGGGTACCGTTGTGGTGTACTCACGCCCTTTCCTGCACATGTTTTTCGTGTGCAAATCCAGGTTCATCTTACCAGCCTCATCACTAGATGCAGTCGCTACTGCTTATTGGAGACTTCAAGGTACATCTGCTCGCCCCCGCAGATCCTCGGAGTCCCCCTCTATCCCCCTATGTTCATTTTTCCTATTTCTGTAGAAATGATGTATAGAACAGTTAAGACTTTTTAGTAGCTTGTGACTTGTGGGTTTCTGGTTTTTGGGAATTGTTTGGTACATTTCAAAGGTGATAATTGTATATGTCGAGTGGCCTTCAGTTGCTTATTAGATATTTGTTATTGTTAGTAGCTATTGATCATGTTTTTGTTTCATTTCCGCATAGTATTAGGCTTACCTAGTCGTAGAGACTAAGTGCCATCACGACGGTTAACGGAGGGAGAAATTAGGTCGTGACACTTTCTCTCCAAGTGCCATCATCGTGGCCAAGTTAGCCAAAGCATCAGCCACATGATTTTCTTCCCTTGGGACGTGGTTTAAGAACACTTGGTCGAATCTTTCAAGTAAACAAGAAGCATATTGGTGGTATGACAAAAGATGTTCCTTCATTACCTCGTAACACCATAAAAGTTGGTTGATCATCAACTTATAGTCACCGTAAATTTCCAACTGTAAAATCTTCATATCTAATGCCATTTCAATACCGATGATCAAAGCTTGGTACTCTGCGACATTGTTAGAGCATATTTCACCTAAAACAAAGGAGAATGGCAAGACTTGTCTTCCTGGAGAGATCAACACAACACCTGCCCCCACACCGTTACAACGTGCAGACCCATAAAAGAATATTGTCCATGGTGGAAATTCTTCAATAAACAAGATGTCTTCATATGGAAACGCAATAGAAAGATCCCATTCTGCCAAAAGAGGGTGATTAGATAGAAAATCGGTTAATGCTTGTCCTTTCTCAACCTTTTGAGATGTGTATGTGATCTCATATTGGTTAAACAATATGGACCATCTTGCTAGGCATGGATACAGAACATGTCGAGTCATCACAAACTTCACGGGATCTGCTTGGGAGATGAGTTTGATGGTGTATGCTTCAAAATAATGCCTTAGCTTCTTTATCTCATAAAGTAATGCTAAGCATATTTTCTCAACAGGTGTGTAGTTCAACTCAGTTCGTATCAGAGTTCGACTGAGGCAGTACAAGGCTTGTTCCATTCCTTCCTCATTCTCTTGAGCAAGTATTGCCCCAAGTGAACGTTCTTGTGCCACAATGTAGGGTATCAATGGCTTCCCAAGTATTTGCGCCCCTAACACAAGTGGATTCAGCAAGTACCTTTTGATGCTTTCAAAAGCATTTTGGCATGACTTATCCCACTGAAAAGTGACATCCTTCCTCAATAGATGATTGAAGGGTTGACACCGTTTGGCTAGATTAGAGATGAACCTCTGGATGAATGCTAAGTTTCATTGGAGACTGTGAAGCTCCCTCAAGTTTTTTGGCTCGGGCATATTTTGAATGGCGTCAATCTTTGCGGGATCAACTTCAAGTCCATGATGATGCACAATGAAGTCAAGAAACTTTCCTGAGGTAACTCCAAATGCACATTTAAGTGGATTTATTTCTAGGTTGAATTTTCTTAACCTTTAGAAAACAATTCGAAGGTCTTCAAGGTGGTAGCGCCTATGCTTTGTCTTCGCCACTAAGTCATCGACGTAGCATTCAACTCTCCTATGAAGCATGTCGTCAAAGATATTTTTCATTGCGCATTGGTAGGTGGCACCAACATTTTTTAGACTGAAGGGCATCACTTTGTAGCAGTATATCCCTTTTGGAGTTCGAAAAGCAGTACACTCTTCATCTTTTTTAGACATTCTGATTTGATTGTATCCGTAGGACCCATCCATGAATGACATAGCTTCATTCCCTGTTGTAGCATCAACCATGAGTTCAATAATTGGTAGCAGAAAGTCATCTTTTGGACATGCCTTGTTTAGGTCACGAAAGTCAACACAAACACGTATTTGACAATTATTCTTCTTGACAGGTACAATATTAGAGATCCATGATGGATATTTCACCTCTCGAATTAAAACACGGCTCGATGAGCTTGTTGACTTCGGCTTCAATTTGTGGTACTAACTCAGGTCGAAACATGCGTTGTGACTACTTCACAGGGCATGCTCCACTCTTGATTCCCAAATGATGAACGGCTACCTTAGGACTAAGGCCATGCATTTCTTTATACGACCAAGAGAAGACATCTTTGTACTCAGTCAACAACTTGAAGCATTCCTCCTCCTCTTGAGGCGTAAGAAGTGCACTAATGAAGGTTGGTCGTGGATCTTCCACAGTACCTAAATTGAGTTCTTTAAGCTCATCTACAGTTGATTGCCTTCCATCTTCCAGTTGAGGGGGAGCTCTTGGACTCCATCATCAATGTCAAGGCATGGGCTATCTTCTACTGTTATGTGATGGATGTTTCAACAA